TTGATACACGCCTTGAAGCCAATTTTTAAGTTTTTCAGTTTGGTGTTCTAACACATAATGCATATGTATGTCTCAAATTACTACATGAAAATGAGTCAATTATCATATGTACAAAACTTTGAAATTGACAAGGCTCATCCCTACTCTTAACCCTCCAAAAATTCATTCATGGCCTTACCACTTTTCCTGATGTTTTCTTTGGCTTTCTCTTCATTTTGTCATGGTTTAAAAGAGGGTTCATCAATCTCAGTGGAGAAAGCTAATGATGTTTTGATCTCAGCTGATGGTACTTTCAGTGCCGGATTTCACCCTGTTGGCAATAATGCTTATTGCTTTGCAATATGGTTCAACAAACCATCCTGCGAAACTAATGACTGCACTGTAGTCTGGATGGCAAACCATGACCTTCCTGTCAATGGTAAATACTCAAAGTTCTCCCTGCTGAAATCTGGTAATCTTGTTTTAACTGATGCTGGACATGTAATTGTATGGATGAGTAACACTGTCTCAAATTCAAAGTCATCTTCATATTTAGAACTATATGATACTGGAAATCTTGTGTTACATAATTCAGATGGGAGTAGACTTTGGCAAAGCTTCGATTCATCTACTGATACCCTTCTTCCTCTTCAACCTCTCAACAAAAACACAAAGCTCGTTTCATCTAGAAGCAAAAGCAACTACTCTTCAGGTTTGTTTACGCTTTATTTTGATCCTAATAATGTCCTCAGCCTTGTATATGAAAGTCCCGAGGTTTCTAGTGTTTATTGGCCGGATCCCTGGCTTTTGAGTTGGGAAGCTGGAAGGTCCACATACAATAGTAGTAGAATTGCGGTACTAGATTCGTTGGGCAATTTTACTTCAACTGATAGTGTTAATTTCATGTCTACCGATTACGGCTCAAAGATTCAAAGAATGTTGAAGATAGATTCTGATGGAAATGTTAGATTGTACAGTCTAAAAGAAGGGGAACAAACATGGGTTGTATCATGGCAAGCATTCTCTCAACCTTGTAGAATTCATGGAATTTGTGGGCCAAACAGTGTGTGCAGCTGTAGTCCTAACCTTGGTAGAAAATATTCTTGCATTCCAGGATATAAGATGAAGAATACTACTGACTGGTCCTTCGGTTGTGTACCAGAATTTGATCTTCCATGCAATCAAGCTGATGAATCTGGTTTCCTAAAACTCCGTCATGTGGAATTCTATGGCTATGATTATGACTTGTATCCAAATTACACCATAAATATGTGCGAGGACTTGTGCTTGAGCATGTGTGGTTGCAAAGGGTTTCAATTCAAATACTTTAAAGTACACCGTTCGGATGGTATATATTGTTATTCTAAGACAGTTGCTGAATGGACATCGTTCGCAAAATTTTGAAGGAGATCTCTACTTGAAATTGCCTAAGGCAAGCCTCTCCGCCTTCAACGAGACTAATCAAGAGAACAAGCTAGACTGTTCAATTAAATTTGAGGAACTGGGCAGAAAATATCCAACAAGCAATCAAAGTGATTCACTGAAGCTTGCCCTTTGGTCTGCTGGAGCTATTGGAGTCATCGAGGTTTTTAGCATTTTCTTTGTGCTCTGGCTCTTGATAAGAACCCGTGGCAATTCTAGGTCATTGCGAGGCTACTCTCTCACAACAGCAAGGGTCAGAGAGTTCACCTATGTTGACCTGAAAAAGGCTACCAATGATTTCAAAGAAGAGATTGGTAGAGGTGGTGGAGGAATTGTATACGAAGGCAAACTGTCTGATGGTCGAATTGCAGCAATCAAGCGACTGATTGATTCTGATCACCAAGGGGAAGCTGAATTTTTAGCTGAAGTAAACACCATAGGAAGGCTTCATCACATGAATGTGATAGAGATGTGGGGGTATTGCACGGATGGAAAGCACAGGCTTTTGGTCTACGAGTACATGGAATAGGGATCATTGGCAAAAGGCTTATCTTTTAAAGCAATTGATTGGAGAAAGAGATTTGAAATTGCTGTGGGAACCGTAAAAGGCCTAGCTTATTTACATGAAGAATGTTTAGAGTGGGTTCTTCATTGCGATATAAAGCCTCAGAACATTCTTATAGACTCCAATTACCAACCTAAAGTGTCAGATTTTGGCCTGTCTTGGCTTCTAAACAGAGGTGATGTTAAATATTCAGGATCCTTAAGGATACGAGGAACTAGAGGTTACATGGCACCGGAGTGGGTGTCCAATCTGCCTATCACCTCCAAGGTGGATGTTTATAGTTATGGCATTGTTTTATTAGAGTTGGTAACTGGGAGAAACCCTGCCATGGAAATTCACTCAAGCACAGATGGTGAAGGGGGAGAAGACCAAGGAACATTAGTAACATGGGTTAGAGAGCAGATGAAGAGAGCTACAGTGGCTGAAACATGGACGGGGGATAGCGAGATAATAGACCATGCACTGGACGGGAAATATGACATTTCTGAGATGTTAATTTTGGTAACAATCGCTCTCCAATGTGTGCAGGAAGACAAAGATGCTAGACCGACCATGGGACAGGCAGTTGAGATGCTTATCTGCCGTGAAAACAATTTTGCTGCAAAAGCACTTGCAATTGCCAAAAGATTGAGTCGTGGTACGTAAGCATGTGCTTCCAGCCTTCTATCAGGTTTTCCTTTTCTTGTTTTTGGATGTAACAAATCTTGTATTCACGTAATTGTGTAAACCTCTTTGATACTTGTTAGGAGCTCTTCTCTCTGTTTAGAATTGCATCACATGACTCCTTTTTGTATAATATTCAAGGATACCACCGTACGAAAGATAGGTTAAGAACCTTCATTTGCCATTTCATGAACTCTGCTGTGTGAGCATGGTGAATGTTCTAACTAGTGCTTTTTGTTTTCTTGTGAAAAAATCACAGTTTTCTTTTATGTTTGTATACAAGTGCATGATCTCTTCCAAGCTGATAGCTTCTCTGCAAGCTATATAGCCAGGTTCTTTCTAATTCAAGTTTTTATTTCTTTTTAAAAAAAGGTTCATGGTTTTAATATATGGTGAAGTTATTTTGTTTTAAGTGACCAGATGCTGTTGGGTCACAAAACCTATACCAAATTGTTTAGTTAAAAGTTTGTTGAACTAGCCTGGTACTTATTAGTATTATTTGGCATTAAGCTTATATATAGTTTATAATGATGTTGCTTTAAGATGCTAATTTCAAGTAGGAAAGCAAATCCAATGAACTTTGAATGAAATACCCAAAGGAAGAAAGTACGTCACATTAAAGGCTCCCAACATTTCTAGATGGTGGAACTCTTACAATATATCCTTTTCTGGCTCCAATACCTTCTCAAGCTCCTTCATTAAGCGATACATTTTCACCCATTTGAAAGAGAACATCTCTTCCAACACTATTTCTTTGATCAGGAGCAATAATCAAGCACTTCCTTCATGGGGGAGTCATTTATTGCTCAAGAGCAATAAACAATTATTGAAGCCTTTATTTCAGAATTTAATTTATTAATTTTTTAAAATTAAACTGTAATTTTTTTTATTTTATATATTTAAGAAAAAGATATTGGTGATCTCAGGAATGGAATTAACGACTACATAACAACTGTTAAAATCCCATTAAACCATAATAAGGAATATTAAGGATTATCCTCGTTGTAGCAACCAGAAGGATTCGTTAACAAATTTATGATTGCGGCCATTCTACGAATTTTAATGATCATTTTACGCCAACCCCTTTTGATGTTCATATTGATTCAACAACTTCTTATCCTTCAACACCTAGAAAAAGCACTAGATCTATACATCCTCAAAGCATTTAGAACCCTAACAATACAAATTTCTGTCATCTGACCCTGAAACTAGTTCTATTAGTGCTCACCTTATCACTATCTATATTTCTTATATCCAACTTTCTATTTCTGATCAAGCGTTTACAACTTCTCTTTCTCTCATACCTGAACCTACAACATATGATCAAGCCGTTAAGTTTGTTCAATGGCAGTATGCTATGAAAGCAGAATTAGAAGCTTTTGAAGATAATTGTACTAGGACGACACTAATGCCCCTTCCTACTAGTTCTCATGTGATTAGTTGCAAATGGGTCTACTATGAAACTCTACTTTTTACTTAAGGTTAGAATTGTAACTTAGCTTAGTAAGTTAGTAATTTGATGTTTTGAGCATGATTTGTAAACCATTATAACTTAGAAAATCAGTGTTTTGGTAGCCAAATAAGTTTAATTGAAAGTTTGGAACTTTAAAGGGTCAAAAGGTTTGTTTTAAACTTGAAAACTGCATTCTGAATGAAATGCATCAATACATGATGAACATGTATCGATACATCTAACTCCAAAAGAGGAGTTTCATAAACATGTATCCCTACATGTTCATCATGAATCAATACATGAAACCTAGGATAAAATGTATCTATTAGCTTTAACAATTAACCTTAAGTTGTAAAATGGCTTAAACAAATTATCAAAATTGCCATAACATGTTCTTCAAATATATTCTAAGACCCTTTGAACTTTGTAGTAAAATGGCTAAGTGTTTGGAGAAGTTTAAATGTCGAAATGGATCAAAGCAACACTTTTAAAACATAAGTATCAAACTTGCAAAAGAAGTATTGATACATTCAAGACAAAAACTATTTTGACTTGAAAGTATTGATACCTAGCATGACAGTATCAATACCTTTTAAACAAAAACCTTTCTGTTTAAAAAGTATCGATACCTAGTGAGAAGTATCAATACATTGTGGAAACTATTTTGTCCTAAAAGTATCGATACCCAGCAAAACGATATTGATACCTTATTCATATCATGCACCATGTATCGATACTAACTCTTATTTCTTGATACCTTGCTACCTGTAGAGTCAAATATCAAAAGTCAACTTCACGAGTATTGATACATAGAAGAAAACTATTGATACATTTCAAACAGAATGCATTCTGACTTGAAAGTATCAACACCTCAGTGAGAAGTCTCAATACCCAAGAATCTTAGGAGACAAAGTATCAATACCTCAAGGCAAACAAGCACAAAAATGACCTAAATAATGGCTAGTTTTGGTACAAATTGATTCAAATGGATCCCAAGGACTTCTAGACTATAAATACAAGTGTTCAACTTGATTTGACATTTGAGAAGGCACTGAAATATATTCCTTTGAGCAAAGAACAAGAATCATCATCAAAATCATCAAATTCTCTTTTTCTCACATTTATATCTTCTTATTGTATCAATCATTGAGCTTTGAGTTTCTTTATTCCTTAGTGATATTCTTTGTAAACATCTTGTACTCATTGAAAGTATTAGCCTTCTAGAGTCATTAAAGCTTTTATATCTTTACTCTTGTATTGAATTGAAAGGTTCTACCTTATCCTCTAAAAAGTATTATTGGTTGGTTATACCTTAACCATTAAAAAAGATAAAGGAGGTGAGTTTTAGCCTTTGAAAATACTAGTGTAAAGGTTGTGCTTGATCCTTAAAAGGCATTTGATATCGTGGATTATGAACTCTTTGTGAACTAAGGGAGAGGACGTAGGTAAAGAGACTGAACCTCTATAAAACAATTGTCTCCTACTTTTCTTCTTTCTAACTATACTTGTTATTTTCAAAAATATATTTCTTTACAAGAGTTTCTTTACTTGTAAAAGTTTTCAAGCAAAAGGATTTTTCAAAAAGAAAAGCTTCTTTAGTTTTAGGCTTAGAAAAATTTTTAATATTTAATTCACCCCTATTGAATATTTAGTTATTGAGATTACAAATCTAACAATTGGTATCAAAGCTTTAGTCTCATGTTTGAAGGTTTAATCACTTTTGAAATGATCCTTTGAAGCTCAAAATCATGGTTTTGCAACCCATGACGATTCCATTAGGTGAAAGTCAATTTATGGTAAGACCTCCTTTCTTTTCTAGTGAAAACTATCTTTATTGGAAGAAATGGATAAAGATATTTATTGAAGCACATGACATTGGTGTGTGGAATATTATCTTAGAAGGTCCCCTTTGTATGTTTCCTAAGCCTCATACAACAATGCAAAATCTAACTACATGAATGATGTGATATCATTCTTCATTTTCTCTATCTCAGTCAGAGGAAAGAACTTAGCAAGAAACTTCTGAACAAGATCATTCCATGTTGTGATGGACACAGTAAGGAGCGCATTCAACCACACTTTAGCTTCGTCTCTCAATGAAAAAGGAAAATGCCTCAAACGGATTGTATCATTCGTGACTCCATTATGTTTAAAGGTGTCAAATATATAAATAAAAAGTTCAAAGTGTAAGCATTTCAATCATCATTTGAAAGAATCCCAAATTGGACTGAAGTTTGAATCATGGTGATGATGGCCGACTTAATCTCAAAATTGTTGGCTTGAATAGTCAGCCTTCTAATGCTTGAAGAACTCCCTTGCACTAAAGGAACATCATAATCTCTTAGCAACAATTCTCTTCCACTACTCAATCTTGGATTTGCTGCTCACCTTGTTGATTAGCCATTGTATCAGTTTGAGCACAGACTTGTTGATTTTCTCGTTGAAGTCTTTGGAATGTTTTTTAAATCTCTAGATCACAAAATACAATCTCCAAGTTTTTTGGTCTTTTCATAAAACGAAAAAACAAAGAAAGAAAAACTCAAGCTAAAACTAATATGTTGAATTGTAATATTAGCAAAATAAATAGGGAAAACAAATCCCCAGTAACAGTGCCAAAAACTTCTTGTTGATGTAGTACACACAAGTATACGTATTGAACAAGTAATATAAACAATGTGTCCAAAATTGTATTCCACATAGATTTGCTTCTAATTGTTCACTAAGTACTAAAATTAGGACAGATCAATCTTATTCAAGTAACTCAATTTTGTAAACAATTAATTAAAACTAAATTTAATAAAAAAACTTAAACTTATTAACAAAGACTGAAAATCCACTAGAGAAAGGCAATAGATTAAAACCTAGAATTATGGGTCCATTCAATACTTCATGTGACATTTATTTCTCTCAATATTCACATTCGTGGGTAGTTTTACTAACCTAGAATCCAAACCTATGCATAAGTCTCCATCGAGATGCTTGCACAAATGCCCAACTTAATTAGGTCACTAGAAGTCAATAGTAATTAATTAAATAAGATTCATTAAGCTAATATTCTAATTTAGTGATGTATGGCAGTTAGGCATTTGTCTACCCTGATTGCAAATTAGATCACCTAAGTGACATAAACATACACTATCATAAACATACATTATTCAAACCTTAGTCTAATTTAAAATTACTTTGTCAAGTCTCATTCAGATGAACAAATCATTCAATTGTTGGTCAAACAACTAAAAGCATTATGAACAGATTTGAATAAACAAAACCACACCTATTCATAGTAAATAAAGAGAAACAAATATTCAAACTACATGTTGAAATCCACCACATTCCTAAAAAAATAGTTTAGCTTATAATATCTAATAAAAACATTGTCCAAAGAAAAAATAGCTATTAATCCAAGTCAAAGGAAATAAGAGAAACACAAAAATAAAGAGAGAAACTAATAGTTTGAAGCTTTTGATATCAATTCTCCCTCAGATTCTCTTACTTTCTTGTTCTGGTTTTTACCTTTTTTCTCCAAAAT